TGGAAGCAGTAATTTTTTATTCTTAATGCCGATGAAAAAGGTAATGAACTTGACCTGACCTTGACTCTAATATTAAACGGTCAAACTTAATCTCTCTGATACCATCACTTAGTGATATTGTCCTCTTGATTCTGTGAAAATTTCATTAATTTTTAAATACAAGAAATGTGAGAAGAATCTTACCTTAAAATATAATCAGTGATAATTTAAACAAGAGGCCAAAGGGCCTTATAGGTCACCTGACCATCAAGTAGCAACTTTCCAACAATTAAATTTGATCTTTTTTTAAACAAGAGGCCATGAAATTTGATTGCGGCACCATTGCTTATCATTACTATATAAACATAGCATGTTTATTTTGGCTAATTCTTAATACCCAGAGGTAGATCAGGGTAACAAAGGGAAGAATATTTCATGCATTTCCACTTTATAACCAATTTTGCACCCCATCCCACAGGAACCACTGACCCTGGGGCCACATATTACAAAATTTTGAAAATTCTAGCATCAACTTTATTTCATCATAAATGGGTGATTAATACAAAAGAGCAGATTTCAAAGCATTAATTTCTTGTCAGACTATGCCCCCCCCCCCCCCCCCGTCCTGGAATTAACCATTTTGGAAGAGGCATCTTTCTTCATCATAAATATGCACTTAATAGACCATTGGCATAATACCCTAGACCAAAGGGAAAAATTTTCAAGGTTTCAAACATTTTCACCATATATTCAATAGAGTCCCATCCCAACACCAGAACCCCTGACCAAGGGGCCTGAAATCACAAATTTGGAAGAGGCATTCTTCCTCATCATAACTATGTACATAGTTCATTGCTTTTATTCCCAGGAGCAGCTGAGAAGATTTTTAAAGAATTTATGCATTTTCACTATATGATCAATAGAGCCCCACCCTAACACCATAACCCCTAATCCTGAGGCTCTGAAATTCACAATTTTGGAAGAAGCGGTCTTATGCAGCATAACTATGTATTTGGTTAGTTTATTTATTACCCAGGAGCAGATCAGAAGGTTTTCAAAGAAATAATGGATTTTTACCATTTGATCTATATAACCCCATCCTACACCAGAACCCCTGACCCAGGGGCCATGAAATTCACAATTTTGGTAGAGGATTCAAAGCTAATTACAATCATGCCAACAGTTTGACTGCTTAATGTCCATGAGTAAAGAAGAAGATTTTTTAAGATTGCATTAATTTTAAAGAATTTGGCCGCACCCCTCAGGCCCAAGGGGGACAGGGACCATGAAATTCACAACTGTTATTTCCCTGTACCCATAGATGCTGTATACCAAATTTTGTTGAAATTGGTTCAGCGGTTTCCAGAGAAGAAGCTTAAAATGTTCAAAAGTTTGAGACCGACGAATGACGACGGACAAAAACAGATAGCAATAGGTAACCTGAGTTTACTCAGGTGACCTAAAAAGGGATTTATCCTAATTCTCTATATGCACAAGATGTGCTTGTGAAACACTGATGCCCCCGTATGACAACATAACGAAGAATAAACTTTTCTTAAACGCAAATTTAATATACAATGTATTGGTACCCAAAGTAAGGTATTCTCACTACAATTATGAAATACAAGAGGCCCATGGGCCTTATAGGTCACCTGAGTATCATGCAACAACTTTCCAACAATAGAATTTGATTCGTGTTTTAAACCAGAGGCCATGAAATTCACATTTTGAAAGTTGCACTATTGCTTATCATCATACTTAAGTAGCATGCTTACTTTGGTTAATTAATACCCAGAGATAGATCAGAGTAACAAAGAGAAAATGCATTTTCACTTTCTCAGTTGTGCACCCCATCCTACAGGAGCCACTGACCCTGGGGCTGTAGTGTGTGATTGATTATACTTTACTCATATTTTATGTTCTAAGAAAGATAACTCTCATTTATTTAATTGTGATTTGTCTCCCTTGTACTCAACCGGAAGTTGATGTTATAAATAAAAGTATGGCTGATTAGTTTGTGTTACATCAGTACATGTGGTTAAATCCGATATTAACTTTGTATGGGACACTACATCTGGCGACGAGGATAAACCAGAGCCGAGCAATGGCAGATGCGAAACCTATTTTGACCGATGTGAATAGGATTGATAAGTTTGACACACATGGAGATGTGAATTCGGTAGGGATCCGTTGGACACGGTGGGCACGAGCATTTGAGCTCTTTGCAAGCGGAAAGGGAATAGAAGACCCAGCGCAAAAGAAAGCTTTAATGTTACATGAGGCAGGGATGGACGTACAGGATATTTTCTACACGCTAGAAGTTCCCGAACCGGGTGATGGAGAAAACGTGTATGGCGTGGCGTTGGCGACATTGAATAAACACTTCACTCCTCAGGTAAATCACACGTTTGAAAGGTCACAATTTCGCGCTATGGCACAAACAGCGACAGAAACTGTTGAACAATTTATCACTAGACTGAGACAGAAAGCTGTTTATTGTAACTTTACGAATATTGATGAAAGTATACGTGATCAAGTGATAGAGAAGTGTTATTCTCAAAGACTGAGAAGGAAATTGTTAGAGAAAAATAATGTGACACTGAAACAACTGAGAGAAATAGCACAGAGTTTGAAAGCAGCTGACAAAAGAGCAGTGACTATGGAACACAATCCAGAACAAGAAACAGTTAACAAAGTGAGTAGATACAAACATAAACATGACTCTAAACAACATGATAAACCAGACAAAAAGTGTTTCGCATGTGGTAAATACGGTCACATTCGTACGTATCCGAAATGTCCAGCACGAGGACAGAAGTGTCGGAAATGTCACATGGATGGACATTATGAAGCATGCTGCAAGACCAAGTCAAAGACAAAGTGGCACAAAACTAAGAGGACAGCAGTCCGAAATATTGAAACTTCAGAAGTAGAACAAGGTGAGGAGTCTGAGAGAACTTATGTGTTTACTATTCGGAACCAGGATCGTTCAAAGAATGACTTTAGTGTTAGTATATGCGGTATTGATACAAAAGTGATCATCGACTCAGGAGCTTCAGTGAATGTTATTGACAGACACTTATGGGAACAACTCAAGGAACAAAAAGTGAAATGTCACAGACAGGCGAAAGCATCGACAAAGAAACTGTATCCCTATGGTAGTAACAAACCACTGCCGTCGCAGGAAGTTTTGTTGCTGATGTGTGTACGCGAGACCGGGGTGTGTCAGCCGAGTTCTTTGTTGTAGAAGAAAGTGGACAAGCTCTCCTAGGCTATGATACTTCTACCCAGCTTGGAGTACTACAGATTCAAGAGACAAGTACTGTTGCACCAGTGCACACTGTGAATAGCACAGATATTAAAACAGAGATACTAGGGAAATTTCCGAAAGTGTTCACAGGACTTGGAAAACTGAGAGATTTCCAACTTAAAATTCCAATTGATGAGTCCGTACATCCTGTAAGTCAGTCCGTACGTAGAGTACCGTACCATTTACGCAGTAAGCTAGACCAGAAACTGGATGAACTTGAGAAGATGGATGTTATCGAGAGAGTCAAAGGGCCAAGTCAATGGGTATCACCTATTGTGGTTGTACCAAAGAAGAATTCAGATATTCGCATATGTGTCGACATGCGTAGAGCTAACGAGGCAGTCGTTCGTGAGAGATACCAAATTCCTACTGTCGATGAAATCTTACAGGACTTGAATCAGAGAAAAGTTTACAGTAAACTAGATATCAAGTGGGCCTATCATCAGCTAGAGCTTACCCCAGACTCTAGAGAAATAACTACCTTTATGACACCAAGAGGACTTTATCGATACAAACGTTTATTGTTTGGAGTGAGCTGTGCTCCTGAAATGTATAACAAAATCATTCAACAGACATTAGGAGACTTACCTGGTGTGAACGCAATATATGATGATGTTGTGGTCCATGGATCAACAGAACAAGAGCATCGACGTAACCTAGAGTCAGTGTTGAAACGTTTAGAAGACTCTGGAATGACTTTGAACATTGAGAAATGTCAATTCAATATGGAGAAGATCGATTTCATGGGATACGTACTCTATGAACATGGTATCGGAATAGCAGACAGCAAAGTTCAGGCTATTAGGAGTGCCAGGACACCACAGTCAGTATCTGAGGTGCGCAGCTTCTTGGGACTAGTCAATTTTGCGGGCAGGTTCATACCAAACCTGTCCACTGTAGCAGAACCCTTAAACAGACTTTTGCGTAAAGACCAGTCATTTGCATGGGGACGAGAGCAAAATGAAGCATTTGACAAACTTAGAGACTGTTTAGCTAATGTGTCAACTTTAGCCTACTTTGATGTGAATGCCAAAACACAAGTTATTGCAGATGCAAGTCCAGTCGGCTTAGGCGCTGTTTTAGTCCAGGAACAACACGGGAAACCTAAGATTATCTCCTATGCGAGTAGATCCTTAACGGACGTCGAACGCAGATACGCACAAACTGAGAAGGAAGCACTCAGCTTAGTGTGGGGATGTGAGCGGTTTCACATGTACTTGATGGGGAAGACTTTTGAGCTGTTAACAGACCATAAGCCACTAGAGTTCATTTTCTCGCCAAAATCGAAACCATGTGCACGTGTAGAGAGATGGTTCTTAAGGATGCAGAACTACAGTTACACAGTTCGTCATATTCCGGGTAAATCAAACATAGCTGATTCATTGTCAAGGATGTTGTCAACAGATACACCAAATCCGAAGACGAATGATACTGAAGAATACTTACGCTTTGTGATTGAGGAAGCTGTTCCAATCGCAATGACCGTATCTGAGCTTGAGAGAGCATCATTGGAGGATGAGGATCTCAAGAACTTGAGAGAATGCTTGATAACAGGGAAATGGTACCAGTTACAGAACAAAGAATATTTGACAGTAAAATCATGTGTACTGTTGGACATCTGATACTACGAGGGACAAGGATTGTCATACCTAAGTCATTACGCGACCAAGTACTGGCACTAGGTCATGAGGGACATCCTGGAATTGTTATCATGAAGCAGCGATTGCGATCCAAGGTTTGGTGGCCTAAAATGGACCAAGACATTGAACAGTGGAACAAAGCTTGTTATGGATGTCAACTAGTATCACAACCTGAAAAAGTGGAACCTATGCACAGAACAGAATTACCATCACGACCATGGGAACATTTAGCAGCTGATTTCCTAGGACCATTACCATCCGGAGACTACATTTTTACTATCGTCGATTATTATTCACGATGGATTGATCTGGCTGCCATGAGATCTACAACAGCGGAGAAAATGGTCGAAGTGTTGACAAAGATTTTCAGTACACATGGATTACCTGTTTCTATTACAACAGACAATGGACCACAATTTGTCAGTGAATATTTCAAAACATACTGTGAAATAAATGGAATCATTCATAGGAAGACCACCCCATTGTGGCCACAGGCCAATGGAGAAATTGAACGTCAGAACAGATCAATATTGAAGAGACTGAAGATTGCACAAGCAGAAAAGAAAGACTGGAAATCGGAACTTTAGACTTATTTGCTGATGTATCGCTCATCACCACATACCACAACAGGAGTTGAGTCCGGCTGAGTTGTTGTTCCGTCGAGTTATTCGTACAAAACTACCAGATATCTACACATATCGTGAGACAGATTACAGAGTTAGAGATAGAGATGCAGAGAAGAAGGCAAAAGGGAAGATGTATTCTGATGCTAAGAGAGGACCTACACTTAGCGACATAAAACCTGGTGATCTTGCTTTGATGAAGAAGAACAAGGAAAACAAGTTATCTACGACATTTCATAGTGATCCATTCAAAGTTGTCGAGAAAAATGGAAATAGTGTTGTGTTAGAATCCATGGAGGGAGTTCATTACAAAAGAAATGTGTCTCATTTGAAAAAGTTTGTGAATTCCAAGGAATCTGTGAATGTGTCAAGTGAAAATGTGAATGAAAATGTGTTAAGTGAAAATTCCAATGGAAATGAAGATTTGTGTTCAGGAAATTCAGTTCCTAATCAAATTGCGAGCGATAAAAGTGTGATTTCAGATGATGTCCAGGAAGCGTCATCAGGAAACTCATCAGCAGAGGAATCCGACAGCAATGTTCAAGATCCAACGACAAGTTCACCGCAATTAAGCCGTCCAGTTCGTCAACGCTCTTTGCCGGTGAAATTCAAGGACTATGTAATGAAATAACATGTTCTATGTAACCTGTGTTTAAATATAAATTTTCAATGATTTAGAAACACTGTAATGATTCATAGACTGTGTTAAAGTTAAATGATAATTAGATTTGTTCATTTACAATTTATTTGAAATGATTGCTATTTGTTTAAATGAAAAGGGGGAGGATTGTATTGCATGATTGATTATACTTTACTCATATTTTATGTTCTATTTAATTGTGATTTGTCTCCCTTGTACTCAACCGGAAGTTGATGCTATAAATAAAAGTATGGCTGATTAGTTTGTGTTACATCAGTACATGTGGTTAAATCCGATATTAACTTTGTATGGGACACTACAGGGGCCACATCTTTCAAAATTTTGGAAATTTTATTCTGTCATGTTGTTGATTAATACATGTACCAAGGTGCAGATTTCAAAGTATTAAATTAGTTTCGGACTATGTATCCCCCAAAGTACCTCTGTGCCAGGGGCCCGGAAATTAACCGTTTTGGAAGAAACAGCTTTTTTGTCATAAATATGTACCAAGATCGTTTGGCATAATATCAAGGAGCAAAGGAAAGGACTGAAAAAGAACTCCTGCATTTTCACTCTATAAACGTAAGAACCCCGCCCTAACAAGAAACCCTGGCCAAGGGGCCCTGAAATTCACAAATCTCAAAGAGGCATCCTTCCTCCTCATAACTGTTTATATAGTTCATTGGTTTAATACCCAGGTGCAGAAAAGAAGATTTTAAAAGAATTTATGCATGTTCACTATATAATCAATAGAGCCCCAACCTAACACCAGAACCCCCATACCCAGGGGCCATGAAATTCACAATTTTAGTAGAGGCAGCCTTATTCAACATCACTATGTACTCTGTTAGTTTATTTAATATTTTCAAAGGAATAATTCGTTTTTTACTATATCATCTTGATAGCCCCACTATAGCACTAGAACCCCTGACCCTGAGGGCAATTAGATTCACAAATTAGTAAGAGGTAGCCTTCCTCAACATTACAATGCAATTGGTTAGTTTATTTAATGCCCATGAACAGAGAAGAATTTCAAAGAATTTATGCATTTTCCCTACATACTCTATAATAAATAGCCCCGCCCTAGCACTACAGCCCCTGACCCTGGGGCCATTTTTATACGGGGGCATAAAACTTGATGCTAACAAAAGAAAGTGACCACGATTTTCTTATTTGGAAATTTGAAGCGAGACTATAAAGATTTAATAGTACAGAACTGGTGTTTTATCATTATCGATGATGAAAAGCTAATGTTTATCGCAAATTTACGGAGTTCTTCCGTCGATACCCTAGAGATTCTTATTCAATTTTAACGTTCCTCTCGAAAATTTTCACTCTTATGGAGTACGCCACCACTTGCCTTTGGAGAACTGCAAATTTTTTCCTATATTCGGCAGTCAGAGCCATTGAACAGGGACGGATCTTTTTTCGTGCAAGTGCCTACTGCGACAAAGGATCGCGGTTAATACGATCTCATTCGAAGAATTGTCTCCACGTCCTACAGTGGGATTCGAACCTGCGACGTAAGGATTGACTCCTTACTTCGCGACTCTAGAGCAGACGCTCTTGTCACTATAAATTCAACTCTCTTGTCACTAATTCAAATCAAGAAAAAATTCCAAAAAAGAAACAATTTTCCCCTTTTTATCTTCTGGAGGAATCTTCATATTTTGATTTGATATGATTACTACATGTATATAAAACACGTTAATAAGGTACTTGAAATGGGGATAATTTGTAAAGAGTGTATTGATTAAAGACAGTGATCTGAGAGCTTCTTTAAAATAATCTGTAGTTTAGGACTATGAGCTCAATGAAAAATCAGAAACAAATTTTCTCGTTTTTAAACAAATTAGCTGAAATAAAAAATGCTTAACCTGCAACAGTAGAAATTTGTAAACACAGACGGCTAAAAGGATAAAGGCAGGGTTGCTGCCGCTGCAATTGTCACTGGGGGTGATGGAAATGACATCAACTTGACTTTTCAATTCGCAACAGAGAACATGTTTGATTTTTAGGGGACGACCATTTGATTCTGAGGGGGGGGGGGGGCTGGCAGATTTTGGAAATAAATAATCTGTCCCTGAAAATGTTGAAAATAAATAATCTGTCCTCCTCTGCAAAGAAAATAAATAATCTGACCTTGACTTATGATATTTAAATATTGTGGAAAATACCTTTTAATTTCCGTGTAATTTAACCTCAGAATCTTCAATTCAGCATTTTTTTTTGTTCGCTTCGCTCGCCATTTTAGAACCAAATAATATTTAAAATCAGATTGCCAGACTGGATACTTGTAGTCAGTTGATTAACATGACAATGTGCACTCAGTAGATGTGATGAATCACTTTAAATACAAGCGAATTCTTAAACACCACAAAAGATAAATTTTCTTGTCAAAGAATTATACTTCCCGATGAATTAATACAAAGTATATAGTGGCGGATTTAAGGAAGGCATACATGTGTTTGACCCCTCCCCTAAAATTTCAAAGTATGATATGAATTATATTAATATTGCCATACTTTTCGTACAATACCAATATTTTTGTGCCTAGTTTTACTCTTAAAATACACAAAAACCCAAGAGCTTCAGGGGGCTTCGCCCCCTGGGCCCCCAAAATCCAAAGTATGATATGACTAGTATTAATTATGTCATACTTTGGAACACAACTAACCAATTCCTACATAATTGTGCCTGGTATTACTCTTAAAATACACAAAAACCCATGAGCTTCAGGAGGCTTCGCCCCCTGGACCCCCTTCATTCAAAGTATGATATGACCAATATTAATAATGTCATACTTTGCTACATAATAACCAATACCACTATAATTGTCCTGGTTTTACTCTTAAAATACCCGAAAACCCAAGAGCTGCTGGGGAATTTCCCTCCCTTGGCCTCTACAGTGCTTCGCCCAGGACCCACTTAGGGGGTCCTTACGGTGGCCCCAGACCTCTTGCCTGAACGAAGTTATACACACACCCCATCCTGAATCAGCCTATGGTATATAAATGATTAGTCTTTTAGAATCAATCGATCAAGGTACCGTAAGACAAAGAAGAAAATAAATAATCTGTCCTTGATAATCTTGAAAATAAATAATCTGTCCTTGACAGGCATGAAAATAAATAATCCGTCTCAAAAAAATTTGCCAGCCCCCCCCCCCCCCCCTCAGAATCAAATGGTCGTCCCCTTATCACAACACACTCTAAAATCACTTTTAATAAAATAAGGTTAAACTGAAAACTCAGATTTTCATATTTAATCTGAATATTAGTGTCTTTTTTTGTTGAGTATATTAAATAAGTTCCATCATCTTGCTAAACAAGGTAAAATGTCGAATTTTGTTGGATTCCAAGTCATGTTGGTATTTCGGGTAATAACAAGGCTGCAAAATCTGCTCTTCAATATGAAATTGTACCTTTTAAAATTCCTTACACGGATCTAAAGTACTTTGTGAAACTTTATGTAAATTCTCTTTGGCAGTATTTTGGGATTTTTGTGATAGTCATGAATTGTATACAATACAAAACAAAGTTAATCAATCATCTGACTTCGGTCTGAAACGTCAGGACGAAGTTATTTTTAGGTCATCTGTTTTCGTCCGTCGTCGTTCGTTAACATTTGAACATTTTCAGCTTCTTCTCTGAAACCACTGAACCAATTTCAACCAAATTTGGCATATATCATCTATGGGTGAAGGGAAACAAAAATAGTGAATTTCATGGTCCCTGCCCCCCTGGGGCCTGGGGGGTGGGGCAAAAACCACTAAAATTAGTGCAAACTTTAAAAATCTTCTTCTTTACTCCTGGACATCTAGCAGTCAAACTGTTGGTATGACTGTAATCAGCATTGAGTTCTCTACCAAAATTTTGAAACTCATGGCCCCAGGGTCATGGTTCTAGTGCTAGGGTGGGGCTAAACAGGTTATACAGTAAAAATGCATTATTTCTTTGAAATTCTTCTTTTCTTATACAGGGCATTAAATAAACTAACCAAGTGCATAGGTTAGTTGAAAATGACGGCCTTTTCCAAAATTGTGAATTTCATGGCCCTAGGGTCCGGGGTTCTAGTGCTAGGGCGGGGCTATGTAGATTATATAGTGAAAATGCATAAATTCTTTGAAATTTTTCTTTTCTGTTTGTGAGCATTAAATAAACTAACCAAGTGCAAAGTTATGTTGAATAAGACTGCCTCTTCTCAATTTTGAATTTAATGGCCCCAGGGTCAGGGGTTCTAGTGGTAAGGCGTGGCTATATAGATTATATAGTGAAAATGCAAAAATTCTTTGGAATTCTTCTTCTCTGTTCATAGGCATTAA